AGAATATTATTATTTTTATGAAAAGTATAAATTTTGACTTTGATATAATCAATTAACTAACTAAAATACTCTATGTGTCAATGGTGGTAAAATAAATATCAATTTTTACAATTTTTTATGTAAATTAATTATAAAAAGTGTGCATTTATTGCTCCTTGACTTGTGACTTTAGACAAACCCTTATTATTATTATTATTTTGTTATTATGATTATTATTATTATTATTATTATTGCTTTGGACTGTTGGGGCATCCCAGGGCCAGCTTTTGTGCACCTTGAAACTAATCTTTCCTAAGGCACTCTTAAAGGCACACTCCTAGCTTTTCAAAAAAAAAAAAAATATATTGGCACACCCCCACATGGGCCCAGTGCTGGCCCCAAAACTTGAACCCTAGAATTGGACTACAAGATGACACTTGATGCCAATGGATCTAAACATAGGGTTAGGAAGGTTAAGAAAATAAGCCGAAGAACTAAATAGTCCAGTTGAGAGGAGGAGAAAGATACCAAGTTATTCTCTGGGGAACGCCAATAGAAACCTTGCACAACTGCTGGGAAAATCTCACAAGCTGCCAAAGCATATATTATGAGGGCATTCATTCCTACCCACTGTAGTAATGAGGTGGGCTTTCTAAAATGTTTGACGTCCACCTGCATCAAATGACAAATACAGTTTAAGTAAACACAAATTTTTACTCTTGTAAATCTAACATAATGTAACTATCCATTACTCTGGAAACACTGCAAATATCATTCAAAGAAGGTTTATCTAATCAATTTGAGAACACACTCTTAAGTACATAAGACATAAGTTTTTACTTAATATCAGTTATGATGCAAATACTTGATTGAAATTTGCATTCTAAGATACATAGATCATGTTTCCTCTCAGACTGCCTCCAGTCTTGTGGTTAGCAATTCAAAATGGTATTGTAAATACTTCCTCTAACACTGTTTGGGAGGGAACATGTGATATACTGATATGCACTTCTCAGTCTTGTGGGAAGGGGAGAAGGGGTATGTTGAACATGGCAATACCTTCTATGTAGACAAAAGAAAAGGGCCATAAAAGTGATGTGAATATGTAATTTGAAAAGAAAGATTCAAAAAAAAAAAGAAAAAAAAAAAAGAAGATGCAACAAACAACAGTAAATGTTAGGAATAGCTACTTTAGCATGATTTCATTGGTTTACCCTGGCCATCAAGGCATCAATTCTAAATTATATTTTATTACTAACTTCTGTTGGCTTGATCCCCTACCCCACCATTCCTTTTAAAATTTTCTAAGACCAAACAAGAGCAATCAATTTAGCATCACAAGGATATTTGTTGAAAATCAGGAAACGATTAAAGGTGAACCTACAATGTAAAAGATAATGGTTAAGAGCAAGCCTGAAGCTCCTGCTGTGATGCACATATAGCTCAATGTGTACAGTGGTTTGGAGAAAGGAATGCCTGCTAAATCTCCGAACCGTTACTTGGATGAAAAAACAAGAATTCATAAAGAAAATAATATATCCAACTTACCTAGCACATGTAGAATATATCCTGAAACTAATAACAGGGAAGAAGATGTGAACCACAAAAGTACATTCTGCATTTGTTCCTGCAGCAAACAAATTCAGACCATATGTGCCTGCATGCATATTATATCTTGCCAAGATGAAAAGAAGCATACCTTAAAAAGCAGAAGTATATGCCCAAAGTGCAATCCCATGAAACACGTGAGGACAGCCATCAATGAGCTGGACAAACCTCAACCGAACAATTAAGCAATCAAATTACAGTTCCCAGCAATAAGAATGACATGGTTGTTACTTAAAGACCTTCAGTGGGGTGTGTGTGTAGCCAGTTGTTGACCAAACACATAAGCAACCAAATTACAATTCTCAGCAATAAGAATGACATGGTGAAACTTACAGAACCTTCGTGTGTGTGCATGTGCGTGTGTGCGCTGTTTGTGTGTCAATCAGTATGTCTTTATCCAAAGTGGAAAATTAAGAAAACCAATTGTTTCATCTAACCTTAAGATGCCCTCAGGATCAAAAGAAGCAAGGCACCACACTGGTGAATCTAATGGTAGGGCACCATAGTCAGGAGAATTAACACTGCATTCCTGTGGTCACAAAAATGTGAATATCCCTTTTTGATTAACATGATCTGTTCAAGAAGGCCACTGAAGACCTATAAGGGAATAGAGGAGACAAAGAAAAAACCTTTGTCCTTCTGTACACAGGACGCTGATATAGATGTTGCTCACCAAGGAAATAACGATCAATATAACCAACTGCATTGCAAGGAGGTTCAAGACTCCCCCTGACTCCACAGCGCACCTAGTAAACACATGATAAGACTATTAGTCTTCTCAAAAAGTCAGAAGCAGTAACAATCCAGACTCACAAAATATTGAAACTTGAAGCCCGTAAATAAATACGGTCTACACTCACAGTTTGAGTATCAGATCCATAAACTGACACATCCATGCTTGGAGATTGAAATTCCCAGTTTGGAACATAAAGACCATACAGCAAGCACATGTAAAATGTTAATAGTAGGAGAGCAAAAATCCTGCACACCAAAGAGAAAGCAAACACTTGAAAACATAAAAAGGGGAACAAAGCTTATCTAAATGCTCTCAAAATTCTAGAGTGGGAAGTAGATCTCTGAAAATTATTCATACTAGGCTGCCACACCATTACTGAATTTTCTTAATTAAATGAAAAGTAATCTAACCCATATTCTCTAATTAAGTCAATGATTAGAGGAAAAGGAAATATCTGGTTCAGCTGTCTCTATAGTTTATAGATTTATCAACATGCAATTGAAAGTTAACTCCCTCTTATACACACAAAATTATACAGAGAGAGAGACTATGGTTTAAATCATGATTTGGAGAGAGTGATGGATTATGAGAAAAAATTATCGTTTTTATTCAAACTACCAATCAAGTTCAATTGAAAGGTTTAAAATTTTCAAAAAAAAGCAAATAATACTTCAGAGCATTTAAGTAACTTTAAAATCTTACTTAACAGAACTAACCACTGAACATAGTATTTCCTCACAAACGCTGCTGCAGAGTCAACCATGATATTGTTAACAAGCCAGATTTCTGATAGTGAAGTCAGTAGATATCCAATCGATATCCTCTGCAGATGGTAAAGCACAGCTTGAAGGGTTAAAACCAGCTTATAAACCTATGGAAAACTCAATATTCATGCATCTAATACAACCAGAGGGGACAACAGTTTTCAGTTGAAAGAGTCCTAAATTTGTCAACAATAAAAAAAAAAAAAGAACTGATATTTTCAAGAGTAACCAATTTGCATTTGGTCAACCACTCGCATAGCTGCTACATTAAGTGTTGCAAATTAAGCCAATGTACACGTGCATGCTAGCACACATAACAAGCTTTTTGAGAAGTAGTACTCAGGAAACATTGCATGGTCATTAGTCAATCAGATGCAGGAGTGATTCATTTTCATCCCAACAATAAGAAGACAGAAGGACATAAGCAACAGAGATAATCTGGTGGACAGTATGATTAAAATAAATGAGAAAAGAAGTAAAAAGAAATACCCACACTACGTCACCCATATTACACTGTAAAAGACATTACCTGTAGTACACCTAGCCATCGTATTTTGTCCACATCAACTCCATATGTTAAGTTGTTACGCCCATGGAAATACCCACCTGAGAGTACATTACAAAAGATTAAAAAGCACAATTCCACCCGTAAATGATTACAGCTTTAGTAAGTTAAAAGTACGTGTGATTGCTTCTTGCAACAATAACCAATCAACATGCATCCAAAAAGTACATAGAAGAGAATTTGCATTCACTCTAAAACAAAATGAAAATGTATTAACTTAAGCTTCCAAGACAATATGATTCCATTGCAGCTAAATGTTTGAATTTACTGTATTAAAAACCTAGAAAACTGCTTATCAAGAAGATCTAAAACAGATAAACCTTTGACACTCAAATCTAGGCTGGTCAGAAGGAATTAATAGCACTTTTTAAGATAACGGCAAAAGAATATTGGTAACCTTGTAGCAACAAGCCCAATAGAAAGAGTTTGATTGCCCTCAGTACAACTTTCTTTGTTGCCATCAGTTTGCTAGAAGCTTTCTGCAGCGTAACACAAATCATGGCCATTAGTAATTAAATTGACTTGCCTCTAAAGAGTATGTCCTTTCAAATATAATATAAACATATAATACATACTCACACCTATACAAATGTTTCTGCAAAGTAATATTCATGCCATCACCCATCAGTTCTTATGTTTTTAGTTAAATAGAACTCAATACCTAAAGTGCTTCTGCTATTCCATTTATGATAACCAAAATTGAAGTAATTCAACATTATACAAAAGCAAACATAAAATTCTCAGATTGCTAAAGAGATAAGAATTGCAAGAAGTAAATAAATAAATCAGCCGAGTACCAATATTATGAAAATATTCCATACCTTGAGCACAAGACTAATAGAGACACCAACCCCAAAAAGAAAAAATGGCATTACAAAATCTGCTATTGTCACACCGAACCACGGAGAGTGATTGATGGATGGAAAAGCTCCACCAGCATCATCAACCAAAATCATCAACTGTAAGAAGAAAAGGAAAAAAATGGACAATTAAGGGCCATAATTTTGCATTCACAAGTGCTTCATTAAATGAACTCCTGATGCCATAACTTCCACTATACATACTTCCTTTCAAAATTATAACTCA